TTACAGAATGCTTTTGAATTTTCCCTGGCTTTCAGTCAAGATTCACTAAGAATGCCTAAGTGATGCCCTGAAGCATTTTTGTCATATTACAGTTTTGAAAAAGGGGATTTCAGTGCCCCAGATAGACTGGGCCCTCTCTGAAGACTCCCTGTTCATTTTTTAATAGGTCGCTTATGAATTTCATGTATTTGAACTTGCAATTTTAACACAACTGTGTTAAATCTGCAGCCAACTAGAAACACCATTTTTAGAGCTGATGTTGTTTTAATAGCTTCAACACTGCATTTCTGGCTCCAGACAGTTACCTTCTCTGCTTCAGCTTTCTCTTCTTTGCAGACTTAGTGAATTGATTCTGTTTCACTGACTCATGACTTGGCCAAGCATAGAAAAAAGGTGGAAGCCTCGTTACCTGAAGGCAATATGCCTCTACTGGAAAAATAATTGCTTCCTGTGAGGATATGTCTGTCTGTGTATATGTATATATACACAACTATTTTTGAGATTTTGAGTGCATTCAGATGAGTAGAAGTCATAATAGCCATGAGAAACAGAGGAATCAGTTTTTAGCCAGAGGAAAAAAAATAAGACCTCTCCCCAAAGCAGCAATAGTTTTTAGAAGCCCTTAAAGATCATGTGATATCTGATAGCAACAGGGGAGTTAGCACTCATGCAGATGCCACCCATGTGTGTATTTGCATATTCTCTTCCTATATCTTAATATATCTTACTTAAAATGATGTAGTGAACACCTTTCTGTCATTTTATATAATATAATAGTTGGATGTATGTCACTGAGTGTAGATAAAGCAAAAATACATTAAGCATCCTTTTTTCCCAGCAGTGAAAGGTTAGAAGGCACTGTATTGATTACTGCAGGAAGAACAGGTAGTGTTAACTACAATCTTAGGTCTTAACATATTGACTGAAGTTACTACAGTGAGAGAAAAAGATCTGGAATGACACCTGGGAGAGCCCAGGGCATACTGATGATAATAGATTGTTCTTCAGTGGCTATCGAGTCATGTTCCTCAGAAATGGAGAGCAGAAACCAAGTGAGACTTGATCCCAGTCAGCAATTAATGACTTAGAGCATTCTTAAACTTTGGAGGTTAAATAATTATGAATGATTTTCATACTGACTAACTACTAATACTGTAGGAAACAGAGTAAATTAATTTCCAAGTAGGTAACAAGATTTAATTTAGCAGTGAATTGTACTCCTATGAGTCATATTTTCAGTAAAACAGTTTATTGTGGTAACTCCTTGCTGTACATAGTATTCTTATAAATTCTTACAATGGGGATAAATTAATTTCTATTGCTAACAGCACTAAAGCAGTGCATTCTTCCTACCAACAAGTTCTTGAAATTCAGGAAAAATAAAGATTTAAATGGCTATTTGTATAGTCTAATTATGTATGAAAATCATTGGTTTTTAAAATCTAGAAACACAGTCATTCCAAAGATGCAAAGTTTAAGCATTCAAGAACAGATGTCTGATTTCAAAACAGCTTTCTTTTTTTTTTTAAATGTTAATATTCCCAACCATCCTATTATTCCATTCAATGAATGTAAATCACAGTTCTTTTCTGTAACTGTCCTTAATAACACTGTACTTAGTTTCTGTCTGGGATTGTACTTGGCAGTCATTTTCTGGAATATTTTTTTTGCAAAAATTCAAACAATGGAAAATAAATAGATATACGATATAAAGCCATTATAAATTTTAAAGGCCTAAAGGTCATTAACTGCACTGAAACATGAACATATTTATCAGATCTATTTAGATTTACAAAATTAAACTTACAAAATGCCACCTAGACTAGAAAAATGCTGAGCTTGATTTCTATGTGGAGCATCTTTATCACACTACAAAATGCTTATGTGGTTAATTCACTAAATCACTGTGATTATCAAACGATGGTCAGCAAAGCAACCCTTATAAAAAAAAAATCCACTTTACATATTGTGAAGGTCATTACAGAAAACTCCAAGTGGAGAAAAGCAGCACAGAGATGCCATCTAGCAGTAACTCTTAGAAATTTCCTAATACTGGATACTTTCTTCTTTCAAGATACTGCACTTATGAATAGGAGAAAGAAAGATTTTCTATCCAAATCCTTTCACTGTAGCTGGCTTTCTGCTGAATGTCTAGCCACCCTGTTGGAAATAAATCTTTAATGAAATATATTATCATGCATATCTTTTTAAAATTTTCTTATGTAAATGAAGAGAAAAAATAGAATAAAGTCAACATATATAACATTTAATAAGTATCTTAAATTGAAATTCAGTAATTAGCACTGTTTTAAAATTTATCATTAGTGAGCTGCCTTCGAGCTGTTAAAGAAGAATTTCTACAGTTGGTCAATATTTTTATATCAAGTTTAAAATAAAGAATTCAAGAACATTGGCAATAAATTAATATGGTCGAAATAAAATCTTAATGTTTCAGAGATTGAGGGATAAACTATATATAAATTATTGTTACATATTTTACCATAAGATGGCGATACTTAAACACTTTACTATCAGTAAGTAACTGAGTAAGTTGAGCACAACATCTCTGTCATAATAAGAGTGCCTGAAGACAGCAGTCTTGACTCAGTGAGAGCCTGGTAGTAAATTAAAGATGTTTTTTACTCCCCAAGGCATTATTTTAAAATAATTGATCAATAAAATAAATTATTACCTGAAAAGTATGTAGGACATGACTAGAAATATTGTGTAAACTGGAAATATCTGTTGTGATTGATATCCATAAGCGAAATAGTTTGTGACTGTCAAGGGCACATAGAAAGTAGTCTTTCCAGGCATGAGCATACTGCACAATTCTTTCTGGGAAAGAAAGAATTTACCATCCCCTTGTTTCCTACAATTACATTTATATCATAAATTTGCTTCCCAACTTGCAGGGGAGAAAATTATTATTCTATTTCAATTTAGCATAAAGCAAGATAAATAATTGAGCACTAGTTCAATTTCTGAAGTGTGTTCAGTTTTAACTTGTATTTTTTGCTAGAAAAATGTTATTAAAATTTTTGCATATATAATTTTCGACAGAAATATGAAATACATTGTCCATAGTCAACAAAATTAAATTACTGTTTGCCATGTGGCACCTTTTTATGTTTAATGTGGTGTAGGATCCATTTGATCTCACTTTTTAAAATTTAAGAAATCCCAATTAGCTCTGGTAAAACCCAGATTTCTAATTTTAATGTAATCTTAAGGATTTGGAACTTTTCTATTCCTGACCCTTGACAAAGTCAAAAGAGCCTGGAAAGAACATCTGAATAGCTCTGAAAATGTCACACAGAGTGATGAATAAAAGGCCATTTTCATGCCCTCTGCACAGCATGCCACAGCAAAAAGGGCTAGAAGCAAAGTTTCCAAAGTTCATTTGTGCTACTTCATTTCAGTGCCTCATCCTGTTTTTCAGTGCTGGATGGTGACCGAAAATGGAACATTTTTTTCCCAGTGTTATTGTGGGGTCTGAACTAACAAAACTGTTCTGCCAGATCTGTTTGCTTCACTAGTGGTTTTACTCTCCTGTCAGAATGATATAAATTTGCTTTTCCTGCTTTTATGCAGTCTTTTCAGTAGATCTTGTTAAGTGTAACAGAAGACAGAAATAAAGAAAATGAGTGTGTGGAAAGCTGTAGTTATTATAATGAGACCCAGTGCTGCTATTCACACAGATGTGAAACTCTCGTGTGTGCATTGCCTGATGAGTCTCCTTACAGGTACAGCAATACCTGATACTTTCAAATGACTCTTATTTAACAGAGCTGATATAACTAATTTCTTAGGTAATTTTTAGTCCTCTATCACCTCCTGCTTTTTTAAGTTGTCACTGTATCTTACTGATTGAAAAGCAGTCAGAATACTGCAGCCGTAAATCAGATTTCCACTGAATTGCATTTTAGGTTCTGGTTTTGTTTTTAAAGAGGAGCATCCCTTCCATATTGTTGGACATTCAGTACGTATCTGTATATGTACAGATTAATATCTTTCTTTTAAATGAAAAGCTGCCAGAAGAGCTGAGCATTGCCTCACGGTTGTCTGGTACCTAACTGGTATCATTAATATGACATTCACCACCATGCAACATGAATTGTGGCAACACGGCACAGGTAATGGACTGCAATAGTACAGCTATGTTTTCTCTTGTCACGTTTTTATAATGCTCACAGTTACAAGACTGCATGCCACAAAAAAACTAAAAAAGAGACAAGCTGTACATCTATAAAATGTATCTATAAAATACAGCACTACAGACATCTGCAGACCTGAGGGTTTTCAGTTATTACTGCTTGTAAGTGGTAGAGTGCAATTCCAGTTTTCTAAATGACTTAATCTGAAATCTCCTTCACCAGCCAGGCTGCATGGCTAAAATCTGTTGTTTACTTTTATCATTATTTCAATTTCAGCTGCGATCTCTCGGTGACTTGACCACGTTTGTAAATAACAGAACTGCAGCAGCTCGGAGCGTGGCTATAGTACTAAATTCAGTGTTTTCACGTGACGCCTCCAGTTTCACTCTAAACAAATTTATTTCCAGTCGGAGGCTGCCGATCCCTGCCTCCAGCGCCTCGCTGCTCCCCCAGCACTGGTGCAGTCACCCAGCGCTATAAATGAATGCCTCCTTGCCTGGAGCGGGATGGATCGCCGCTCTTGGCGCTGGACAGAGACCGGCCTTGGACAGCGACCGGGCACGGCAGCCCCGTCCCTCAGCGGCTGCACAGCTCTGACCTGCTGCGAGACCCTGGGCCCGGGCGCGCCCCCCGCACCGCGCCCCCCGCCCGGGCCGCCACGCTGCAACCGGGGCCGGGGCCAGCCGCTCCCGACACGAGCTCTCCTCTGCCTCCCGGCCGCTCGGACAGCCAAGGACGCGCACCAGCCTCTTCCCGGAGCCGCCCGGCGCATCGCCCGCTACCGCATACGCCGTGTGCGGGCAGGCTCCGCCGCTGCGAACTTGCCGCCCGGCTGGCTCCTACCTTGGAGGGATCGAGGCCGGCCAGCAAGGACAGCAGGAGGAGGTTGAGGATGCTGGCGGGCGCCCGCATCCTGATCCCGAGGCTGCCTCTCCGCGCCGCTCCTCTCGGTCATTCACTCCGCTCCCGCCGCAGCGACCGCGCCGGCAGCCGCGCTCTCTGCCCGCCCGCCGGAGCCCGAGTGGAGGCGGCAGCGGCAGCCGCCCGGGGGACGCTCATTCCGCGGGCAGCCTCGGCGCGGGGAGGGCGGGCGAGGACGGCGCTGCCCGAGCTGGCGGAGCGGCTCCACGGCCCCGTCCCACCCCGCCCCTCCCCTCCCCCCGGCCAGCCCACCGCGAAACTTTGGGCCCGGGAGACGACGGAGCCAGCGCGGCTGGACGGGCGCGGGCGGCGGATGTGACATCAGCGCCGCGGGAGGGCGCGCGGGCGGGGGGCGCGGGGCCGTGCGGGGGCTCGGGCTGCGGCCGCGGGCTGAGGGGAGGCGTGGCCGGGCCGCTGAGGGGCGCGGTGCCCCCTGTGAGGGGCGGCCCCACCGAGCCCGACCCGGCCGGGGGTCATCGTCCGACCCGCACACAGACGGGGGTTAGTGCCCCACCGACCCCGTACCCTGCCGAGGGTCATCTCTGGCCCCGTATCTGGCCGGGTGTCATCTCCTCCGGAGGGCCCGGCGGCAGCCCGCTCCTCTGTGGAGCGCAGCTGTAGGCGGGGAGGAACCGCTCTCCCAAAAAGAGTGCCCGGCACCATGGCAAGGGTGGGTTGATGTGAGGAGCTGCGGGGCTTTTCTTCAAGGGAATTCCTTTCCCATCTCTGTCTAGAAAGTCAGGGCTTAACTGAGCTCTGGTGAAGGCGACTTTAGCCGGCTGTGCTTTCCAGCTGGCCTGTGGTCAGCAAGGGACCATCGTGTCTCCTTGGTTTGGCCTGTGAGCTGAGGTGGGAAGGTCTGTGCAGGTGCAGGCAGGTGGAGGTCGTTTCCTGAGAGGAACCCTTGAAAGCCTTCCCAAGGGCAATCAGGAGTTTCCTTTGTCCTACACCATCCAGCATCTTTGCGGTCAAGACAGCACTGCTTTTCCAGTCAGGGCTCTGGCTTGCCTGTTGTTGGCCTGTGCAGGACAGTCCCACAGGTCAGTCCCACAGGTCAGTTTCACGGGTCAGTCTCACAGGACAGTCCCACAGGTCAGTCCCACAGGTCAGTCCCACAGGTCAGTCTCACAGGTCAGTTTCACAGGTCAGTCCCACAGGTCAGTTTTACAGGTCAGTCTCACAGGACAGTCTCACAGGTCAGTTTCACAGGTCAGTTTCACAGGACAGGCAGCAATGGGATTTGGCTTCTTCAGGGATGTGTGCTCAGCACAGCTGAGCATGGCCCAAGTGTAAATAGCAGCACTATCCTGTCCATGTTAACATCTTAATGGTTCAATTATTTTCCCTTAGAAAACTCAAACTCAAGATCTATGGTCAGCATAATCTTATTTATGACACAGTCAAGATTATTATAAATGTGGTTTTCAGCTTTGTGTGGTAAAAATGTATTAGCTTTCCAGCTGGCAGTTTTTTGGTCTTAACTAGGTTCTCTGGGGGGTTCACTGTGTGTTTTTTCAGCATCTAGCACAGAAGGGCCAACGCTGTTGTGCCTTATTTTTAAGGTGCTATATAATCTTAACTAAGGGAAAAGTGGGCTAAAAATATGCTTTAAATAGCAGAACTTTAGTGTTTACTTTAGTGTAACTCCACACAAAACAAAACCCCAAGTTTGGGAGGGTGTTAGGGTAAGTGTGAACAGAACATGATTTTCTAACCCTCTCCAATCTACAAGATTGGTGTCATTTGCCTTTAGGAGTTAAGACCACTGCTGAAAGACAAATGGAGCTTTGTGTTTGCAGGCTATCTGAAAAGATTGCATATCTTTGGCATAGTGTTCCCAGATAAAAAATGCTGACTTTTCCTGTGATTTCCAGTATTTTATTACGTTTTTGAATGGCTTCTAGGGTTGCAATAACTAGATTTTGTTTTGTGAGTAAATTAAAATTTATGTTTTATGCTAAGATGTCTTAGACACTCCATTTTCATCAGCAGTATCTTTTACAGAGATACAGTCTTTCATTTCCTTGGAAGGTAGGTCTACAAATTATGTTTCCTTTTGGCGTGGAAAGGAAATTGTGAATGAGCTTTCATTGACTTTCCAGAGTCAACAATGGAAAGAGACTCCCCTCTGATACAGCTGCTTTTGAATTACCTTCTACAAGGAAAATATTAAAGATACAGAAAAGAGATTAGTTAAATTTTTTTACCCTCCTGTAGAAAGTATGCAAAAGCCCTATTTTCTATTAAATAGCACTAAAAAATGTAAAAGGGGACAGCCACATATATTCATACGAATTCAGTATAAAGTAATGGTACCAATGCACTGAAAACCTCAGGTTGTCCAAAGGACAAAGTGAATGGTGCTTTCAGCAGAAACATTTCATACGAAAAAAGAACGTAGATCCAAAACCACAAAGGCAAGATTGAAGGCATTCATATCTTTTCTAGAGCACCTCAGTGACAAGTTCTCTAATTTTCCCTAGCTTTACTTTCCCCATGCTTTTTTCTCTTTCTTTTTTTCTCAGTCTATCATAGATAAAGTTTGCAAAGCATATGAACTATTAAATTAATCATAGAATGCAAACTTTTTAAAGAGCTTCAGTGATGCAGTACGTTTTTCCACTTCTTAATTCTGCTTGGAATATGTCTTTCAAATCAGTAAAATATTGAAGAGTAAAGTTGAAAAGTAAAACCAGTGGTTCTCCTAAAATCATAAGCCTTTAGAACTCCTGGACTTCTCAGATACTTTTATGTGTTGCAAACTAGTAATTTGTTTGATATATGAAAAAGTACCAAAACAACTTTCAAAAAGATAAGCGGAAAAGAACTGGGCCATTTTATGCTGATTTTAATAATCCATTTGGAGGAAAGTGAAAATACGTAATAGACCTATTTCTCCACCCTCTAGCAACCTGACAAGTAATTTAATTTTGCCAGAAAAAACTGTCTGAAGACTGGTGAGAATCCCTAGCCATTAGTACTTGAAATAATCCTGTTTAATAAAGTTTATCTGGAAAATTAAACAAAATCCAAGTTTTTATGGGAAGTTTTTGTTTCTTCCGTATGCCCTGAAGTGGCAAGGGAATACCTGATTGTGAAGATCTCTCTCTAGCAAAGCTTTTGATCATCCTCAAAAACCTATGAAATTCCATGTGAATGACATTTCTTCTTGAGGTCGTTGTATGGAGACTGACTGCTGCAGTCAGTGTGAAATACATGATTGTGAGAGAAAAGGAAAGAGATACCAAAAGCTTTCCTGCAGGCATCAAGGGACAGAGTATTGGCAGAATGGAGGCACGCTGTGAATACAGCTTGTCTAGATGGGGAGGGATGTTCTCAGTGTGTGCCTAAAGTTAGAACAACTTTTCTTCACAACATTGCAAGATGTATTGCTGGCAGTTGGAGTAAGGCAGAGACTTGTTCACTTGGGTGCACGGAAAGCAAAGTTGATAAATTGGCTGTAGGTACCCAATTCTACATAAATAAGTTTGAAGTTCTGCAATCTGAGTTTTGGCAGCTCAAAAGTAGTGATGGGAGTTGTGAAAAAGGATATTGTACACATGCATCTGTGGAAAGGCAATCTTTGTAGCAGGTAGCATCTGAAAACTTTGGAATTGCACTGCTAACAAACATTTTTTCTAAATAGGAAAATTCTTTATTAAATTGATCTTATACCTACTATTTCATGGATGTTGAATTTTCTACTAAGTTAAGAAGGTGATCTGGATTTTGAATTTTATGCATTCTCCTGATTGTGGGAATGAAAAGTTTAGGGAATTGGAAAAAAGTGTTGAATACTGACCCTTGTTGATATTAACTGCTCTGAAACATCCTTGAAGAGAATAAATTTGTTCTTCACTGCATAAAAAATTTTGATGTCTCAAGGAAGGTAAAGAGAGGGAAAAAGATATAAACAAAATTAAGCTATCAATGGTACAGAAGCTAAACTTTCTGACATATTATATTTGTAAAGAACATGACAGAAAAAGAGCACAGGAAGTTTTCTAAAATGAGATGATTATAACAATTGGTAAAAAATTAATTTAGAGTACATAGATGTTAAATAAAATATAAAAATATTGCACATGTGAGACAAAATTCACAGTAGGACTACTTTAAATTATTAAATCTGCTAATATTTGGATAGTTTTTACCAACAGATTGAAGTACAATTTATAGTTATCAATCATACTAGCAGAGTAATTTTTAGATTCTGTCAATACTATGACCTTGCTTTCTAATCCATGTCTATATTAGTTAAAATATTAAAATGAGGCTTTAGAAGCATGTTTTGTCAGTGTAGCTGTCCTAGTGGTGATTATTTTTCTAAACAGAGAATTTATTGAAGTCTTACTCTTACCTGAAAAATGTATTTGGATTTTTTCGTATGTTATCAGAATTAAAAGGTGACTAAATAATTATTGAAAATAAATTCAGGAGTTGATGATTCTCCTATTGCTTGTTTTCTAGTAGTGAATCTTTCAAAAGAATTTTTATTACTCAGAGTTGTTTTAGGAACTTTTCTGTGAACATTATCTTTCTTTGCATATCTCTGTAAGGGTGCACTGAAAGTGGTTAAAATCCAAGTTTCTGCAGAAATGCATACATATATATATATATACACACATCTATAAAGTGCTGTTATTTCCCAGTGGGCTCGTGTTGATGCCAGTGTGAGCTGTGCTGTGATGTGAGGAGCTGTGAGTCATCATCAATGTTACTGCCTCCCTCAACAAACACAAAATCCCTGACAGATGGACAGAAACGCTCAGGTCTGGCTGGTGTGGACAGGTTTCACAGAGAATCAGTGAGTCAGGCACCTCTAACTCTTTGTTTAAAGCTAATCCGTGTCTAGAATTTACTTTTGTTGAAGTTTAAGTTTGACCTTAATTTTCATTGGAGAAGAAATGGCCTTAGTAAAGTTTTCCCACATATTTACAGTTCATGTGAAATACAAGAAAGAATTAACTCTGTGGAAGTTTAAATTGTGTATAAACCTAAGATCAATATTTTTAAACATTTCTGTGATTTAGCTTGCTTTTTTTCCCTTTCAGATATGCTTCTTTATTTACTTTTTAATTCAGGACTTCATTAATGCATCAAAAACACATCTATAAAATAAATCCTCATTCTGGCCTCTTAGGAGTTAGCATAATCTTCAGAGTACAATATAGCTATATGATATTCAGATTTATAGTTCAGTTATATTTGA